ATTCACAAATTCTCATACCGGCATGTATCAATTATCATGCTATCACGTAATTATTAAATCAGATAATCACGTATTTAATACCTTAGGTAATAACCATGATCCGGTTATTACACCCTATTTATACACAAGGCCTTGCACTACAAAACAAAAATATTAACCACTAGTTAATGTCCAAAAGATAAGCAAAGGGAATCTTAAGTACAAGATTACATATTAATTCAAAAATCTCAGATTTAAAAAGTCTTCCAGCTGTATTTTAGCTGTCTTCCATTCAGCATCCAAAAGGCAACAGCTTAATCGTTAAGCCCTCGCAAAACCATGCACGTATCAGGTGGCCGCTGCTGCAATGCTGTAGCATCAGGCTGTTTTAGCAAAAATTCTCCGTTAGCTTGTATCTTACGTCCCAACAAGTTTAACCACAATATTTTAGCTCCATAATAAAGGTATAAAGAAATAAATCAAAATGACTTAAAGTGGGAATGAAAGGAAACTAATTTTGACTAAAAAGACATAAAACGAATGCATTATGTGTTGAATTCTCAACACATATCAGCTGCATACGAACCATTAATATAGGTATAAAAAGTGCTTGATGAAGACTTACCTGAGTTTTCGTCTTCTTTAGAGATCGTCATCACGTTGTTGGAAGTAGTGCTTGAATATGTTCTACCAAAATGCCAATAATAAAAAACAGAAGCTCTGATACCACTTACTGGGGTTTTGGACACCACAAAGGTCCCAAAAAACAAAATAAAGTAATGAAATTTATTCAATGACAATCAAATATGTGATGCTAGCCAACAACGAATGTGGATAACAAAGTAGGATTGAAAGCACAACGATCAATACACCAAAGAACTTTGTAAACACACAAAAACACAGACATTTACGTGGTTCCACCACTAGTATGGAGATGTAGTCCACAGGGAAGATGAAGAAACTTTATTGATGAAGAACGCCTAAACACCGAAGTGAAATTACAAACCAAACACTAAATTTGTGTATAATCTCTCTCAAAGTTTTCTCAATTCAAACTAGGGCTTCTAAGCTCTCAATTTTGTTCTCCATCTTGATGGAACTAAAGGGGTTTATTTATACTAATCCATAGTGGAATTTCAATTTGATCCCAATACTAAAAGCTAACAAAATCATGCTTATCATCGCACACAGCCAGGACGAATTATAAAGTGCGGCCGTGTCAAAAGATCCAAAACTTTTTGTTTGCAAAATAACACTAGACCAAGACGAATTATAAGGTGCGGCCATATCAAAACACCCAAAAGTTCCTGTTTACAAAATAACACTATGCATGGTCATGCAGGATCATAAGGTGCGACCGTGTTAGAAACTCCAGAATTTTATGTTTTACATATCATTGTTTCGTATCACAAAAAGTTCATATGTGTATCACATTGATTCACATATGAACCTATTTGCCTCATATTTGTAAAAGTTACGAAAGTGGTTCTCTATTTTCTGCATACCCATATGAGGAATTATATGATGCTTCACGGTCAAAGCCGCAAATGTTGACTAGATGAAGAGCTAGGATCACTTCTTTACTTCTCAAATATTACCACTTCTATATATTTATTTAGAGGGAAGTTCATTTGTAAACCCGAATTATTGTGTTAACTTTGTTAACCAATCTTAACCATTGATCTTTGAAATTTGTGGCTAAGATCATTAATGACATAAAGTGTAAATAAATGCACACATAGACAAGATAACATAGTGAACAATGTTTACAAGGATATTTTGGGGAAAAAATTTAGTTGTCCATTAATGACAATGAGATGTTTTGTAACCGCCCATTAATAACAATAAGATATTTTGTAACTCCCATTAATAACAATGAAACTATCCGGAAATTAATCTCGTCATCGAATCAAAACCAACAGCAAGATCCCCGACACCAGATTCTTCTACAACTTTTTTCGTTAATGGTTCATATGTGAACAAGTATTCGATATTTTTGAGAATTGTTCATGTGTAAACATGGGTGTATATGGAAAAAAGTCGTAAAGATTGTTGTAACATCCATGTTTTATTTTAGTAAACACATACACTATGTAGTCTCATTCGTATATGAAATAAATATGGAAGGAAACCTGGTTCACCTATGAACAAACATCAAATTGTGCTTATGAACAATGTTCATGTGTTTACTTCTGACCACTATTCAATTGTTTTTAAATTATTGATAAATTGTACATACCCAGTTTTTGTGTTTATCCATAATTGCTTGAACGATACCGAAAACTTTACTACCGGGTCTCCTCCACCAATTATAATTAAACATTAAAGATGGAAGATAAATATTAAAAAAAATAACAAGATATTAAAAATGCACAAATTATGAGATTTTATGATCTTGTAACTCCCAATTAATGATATAGGAATTATATAAAAAAAATAAAATTACCTATATACCTTTATCATTAAATTCTAAGATAGAGAACAACCTAATACTAATACTAAGATGGATTGTGATTGGTTGAAAAAGTTTATAAGGTTAACACAATAATTTGGGTTAACATTTGAACTAAACGTTCTCTCTCTCTCTCTCTATACATACACACTACTATAAATATTATGACACTTAGAGATTTCTAATTATGACTCGTAGACTTTGGTATACACCAAGCTTCATGGAAGAAATATCAATCAACGTACGTGAAGATCAACTCAGATGATTTATGGAATATGGCCATCGTATTTGTTATCTACTTGGGTTCGAGTACAATAATCTTTTATGCCGCAAGATACCACATTTCTGGAGAGACAAAAACGAACGACATTCTTGATACTGCTTATTTCGCCTTTGTTATAATGACTTCTGTTGGGTATGGAGACCTTTCTCCTGATGACGACCCTCTTGCACTAATATTTGCTACTATCTTCTCCCTCTGGGGTATGTACGTTTTTGGGGTACTGCTACATATGGCTTTAGAAGTTTTAGAAGAGCAACGACAAAATATAATGCGTAAGGATCCAAATCAAAATGCTGCTACTGCAAAGGAATTGATCAAAAAACACAGCAAAATAATAGGGCTCTCCCTTTTGGGGATTATGATTGTCGACACCATTATTTTGATTCTGACCGAGGGATTGGACTTTATTCATGCCTTGTATTGTATAAGTATAACAATCACAAGTGCAGGTACCGAAAAATGCTTCTCAACAAAACTTGGACGGAGCTTCGCAATATTCTGGATGATATTTGGTGCTCTTTATAAAAATTTTGTGCTCTTTACTTTTACCAAGGTATACACTGAAATAAAACAAAGGTCAAAAGAGAAGATAAAAGCGATGGCTATAAAAATATCAAAGCCAACGTTGGACAGGGAAGACGAAAAGAAAGACGAAAAGAAAGACGAAAAGAAAGATGAAAAGAAGCCAGACAAGAAAGATGATAAGAAGCCAGACGATAAGAAGCCAGATTATACTGGTCATGTTCCAATGTAAGTACAAGTAAGCATGAAACGCGTAAAGGCGAGAATGTAAGTACAAGTAAGCATGAAACGCGTAAAGTACTCGCCTTTCATCTGACGGTAGTTTTTGAGGCATCACGGACCACTAATATTGATCATACAAGAGGGTTATCTCGCGTCTTATGGAGATCCTACCATTACAAAATTGGGTTTATAGAACGTCATTTTAAGCATTCTAATAGACCATTTTATAAGACTTAAGTTATAGGACCTAAAAATAAATTGTTCTATCTAAATGCGTTGTAATAAATTTATAGGAGGTTTTTGGGGGTCGTAAGAAGTTTTCTAGGACATTTTAATAAAAAGGCATCATGTTAGTTATTTTATATAGCACTATTTTAAAAAAAAAATATCTTGTAAAAAAAGTGTCCTGTAAAAAGAATAGGTTTGTAAGACACTTTCTCAAAAGTGTCCAACAAAAATCTAATGGGATACATTGTGTTAAAAACGTCCTAAAAAACTTGTTAAAATGTCCAAAAGTGTTCTATACACTTGCTACAACGTCTTTAGATATGACGTTTTATTTTTTGGTCATATAAATTAAGTTTTGTAAAGCACCCTATTAGGAGTTAGGACGCTTAAAATAAATGATGTCCTGTAAATCCAATTTATTTTTAGTGTACATATCACACATGACGTCTGTCATTATAGTGACTTTGGCTCTCAAAAAAAAATAAATTCCGTCGGAAATCCGTCGGAAATTTTAAAAATGTTTTTTTATTTTTTTTTTCCTTAACTTTAATTTAAAAAGAAATATAAAAATAAAACATTTTTAAATATTTCCGACGGATTTCCGACGGAATTTTATTTAAAAAATAAAAAATAAAATTCCGTCGGAAATCCGTCGGAAATTGTTTTTAATTAACACTAATTAATTGATTTAAATAAATTAGACAAATTTTGCGACGGATTTCCGACGGATTTGTAACGGTTTAGAATAAGTAAAAAAATCCGTCAGAAATCCGTCACAAATCCGTTGAAAACCCGTTTTAAATAATTTTAATTTTTTTCCCGAAAAATTCAGTGGGGGATTTGTGGGGGATCTGTGGCGGATATGGATAAAAGTTGACTTTTTTTGACTTTTTTGGTATCCGTCGGAAATCCGTCGGAAATCCGTCGGTAATATTTCCGACGGAATTTCCGCCAGAAAAATCCGTCGGTGATGCCCTTTTTTTTAGTAGTGAAACTAGTGTAATTATTGTCTACTTTGATGATTCTACAGACTCATTCAAGAGCTAATAGAGGAGGGGGTGCTCAAATACGAAGACATAGAAGCTTTCAGGGCAGAGTTTAGAAAACTCGGCCCTCGTGGCACGGATAGGTTGACGTTACGTGAAATTATGGCGTCGTAAAAATAGTCGTGAACTGATGTGTTAATGTCCTCTAAAACAGCCACTTAACGCATTACATAAGGATGTTACTATTGATGGTCTTCTTACTTTCTTACAAGTAAATGTGCATTTATGACCCACATCATACTTTTGCATGAAATTTACTAGGTTTGTTCAGTTTGATTTTACATGTACACATAACTTGATATAGTTGGTATCGTAGCCCTTGGCCTTCTAGGAGGTCAGGGGTTCAAACCTCACCATAGGTGAWCAGGGTATGTGAGTTTATTTGTTGCATTTGCCGTATATAAATATTATATACTTAAAAAAAACTTGATATAGTTGGATATGAATTTTAACCAGAAATGAAATACGTTTTTGTTTCGGTTGATAATTGATTAGTTATTACAATTTTTTAAATAAAATAAATTTCATTAATGCTCTAAAAGAATTATAAAAAAGAGTTTATATCATCGTCAAGCCAACTACAAGAGTCCACACCAAAATAGGATAGGTCACTACAAAACAGATGACTTAAATTACCTACAAAAATCATCCAGAAAAATTTCCATCGGTCATTATCAACATATCACCTCGAAAACTCCAATGGATCGGAATTCGACGTTTCTCGAGAAAATACCAGCGGATCATCCGGAAAATACTTAGGTTTGTAGGGTTTGTAAGAATTACATGTAATTGAAACTCCTCTTATATATACAGGGTTTAAACAAAAACACCACTATTATACAAAGATGTGAGAACACTTCTGCATGGCCCTCCAAATTAATTAATCCATAACAAAAATTAGAATAACATAAATAAATCAGTATTTATCAACAAGTTTGTTTAGACACCAAAAATATATTATAAATTTATTACAACATCTTTAGATATATATAGACCGTTTTATAGTTTGATCCTATAAACTTAAGTCCTATAAGACAGAATCTACCGTGTGGCACCTCAAAATTGTCCAGTAAACCTGATTTTCTTACGGTGAGATATGCCTGAAAAACTACTGTAAATTTAAGTCCTATAAAACAGGGACTACTATGACACCTAAAAATTGTCTAGTAAACCCGATTTTATTGCAGAGAGATATGCCTCAAGAACTACTGTAAAGGTCCTGATAAATGTTTGATGGTTAAATAATTAATTGTACTTACACGATATCAACTGCCTTGAAATCAGCACGAGTCATCTTTCTTTCAAGAACCAGTTTTACGAACGACATTTGTCTTTCTTGAATGTTTAGCTCCATGAAAGGTAAGAGCAAATGACCTATAAAAATGGTACCATTTACCATCCAAAATACCGAAAATACTCGTCCACATTTCGTTATGAAGCAACCGTCGCTATCTATACTTGTATTTGTTGATGTGATACGAAAGAACACGTTAATATAGTCCATACGTTCAAGAAAATGCAATAGAAACGTCCCACCGCCCATATGAAACGCAAACAATATCAATGTCATACAAGTGTCATCAACTAAGTCGGATTCATCTCGTGTTTGTTGGTTTGCATTTATTCATCTGGCTTGAATACAATCTCTACAACCATATCCAGCATGAACCCAGAAAGAAGCATACACAAGAGGCCAAAGAGGGAGACAAGTAGCATTACAAGATTGGTATCAGGAGTAAGGTCTCCATACCCGATAGAAGTCGCTAAAGCGGCAGTGAAATAAAAAGCATCGAGGATACTGTTTGTTTTCTTTCCAGATATATGGTGTATGAAGTGTCATAACTAAAGAGGTTGTAATAAAACCATCTTATTGGATTTAATTTATAGGACCAAAAAATGAAATGTCCTATCTAAAAGGGTTGTAATAAGTTTATAGGATAATTTTGACCGTCTTAACAAGTTTTTCAGGACACTTTTAATACAAAACATTCTATTATCAATTTTACAGGACACTATTTGAAAAAATGTCCTATAAAAAGATGTGTTTATAGGATATTTTTTCAAAAGTGTCCTATATAAAATTGCTACTACGACGTTTTGTATTAAAAATGTCCTAAAAACCTTGTTAAAACGCCTAAAAACGTCCTATAAAATTATTGTAACGCCTTTACATAGAACGCTTTAATTTTTAGTCCTATAAATTAAGTCCTATAAAGTGGTCTATTAAGACGCTTATAAATTAATGGTATCCTACAAACCCAGTTTTATTGTAGTATATTAGAGATTGAGTCCAAAACCAGCCCCATGATCAATATCTTAAACATAGTTGGGGAATTTTGCCTATATGTTAACATTATGTATATCGACTTTGAACTAGGGTTAAAATAGTAATTTGTTGTCATTCAGACTGTTCATTCAGAACGGTTATCAAACAACCATATTTTATTCTGCACTACTTAGTACATAGCCTCTCAATCTTTCTAACCACTTAATCATTCTACATCAAACCATTCGGTAACTATCAGATGAACCCTAAAACATATATTTCGATTACCCTAACATTTATAATTAGCATCAAACCCTAACTTTATGAGCATATAAATACGATTAACACAAATATTTATAAAAGTCAAATATTTTATAAGTAGTTAAATAATAAATAATCTAAACACAAGACTAAAAAAGTTATCTAGAGATGGTAACAAGAATAATAGGCAAATAAACCACAAGGGTGGTGCCTGATTGGTTTGAACTTGGCTCAAAAGGTCAAAAGTACCAGGAGGTCTCAGGTTCAAATCCAAGGAGGAATAAAAATCCTCTTGTGACCACGGAGGTTCAAATACAGTGACTCCGGACTATCTGCAAAGCAGGTGGTCGTCCTGAAATTAGTCGGCTCGCATAGCGGGTTGGATATTCAGGTTAATAAAAAAAAAGAATAATAGGCAAATAGAGAAAAAGAAGAATGTGGAGTTATACAGTTTTTAACGGGTGTTCACCGGGTCAAGAGACCCCATTACAAGATGCGGCTACGCCATTGATCGCCTCATGTACAATGTTACGTGGACGTTTAAGTAAGGACTATAAGGAGGGTGTACGTTGCCCACATCGTTTCGACAACATAACTTCACGTAACGTCAATCTATCGCTGCCATTAGCAAGTCTTCGAAACTTCTTCTCTATAGCTGCTACCTCTTCTTTGCTGACCAACCCCTTATCGATTAGGTCTTGAAGCTTCCTTTGGAATCATCGAAGTAGGTATTAATTAACAAATTAACATAAAACATATATAAGAGTATTTTCAATGACTTCTTTAAAACAGGGATTTTGAACCAATATTTTGCTTCAAAAGCTTTCCCAAAACTCTCTTCAAAATGGATAAAGTAGAAGAAAATAGGCAGATCTGGCCATCGCAATACATACCTATGTTGAATCTGATAATTTTTCTCTTTTAGTCAGGTCCATAATATTTACGAAGTAACATTTGGATAAACACGAGAAATAAATGACTAGAAAAAACATAATAAAAATAAATATTTTTACGTAAAGATCCAAATTTCTGTGCCAAAAATCAGTCTTTAGGTAAAAGATTTGCATAAAAAAATACTAATAATATATTTGATAATGAAATTGATTATTTTAATCAATTTCCCAAAATTAAACTATATGTTCTTACTTGTGTCTATCTATTAATCATCATAACTTAATATTTTTTATTTATTGTTTATTAATATAATATTTAATATTTTTTCTATTATTATTATTATTAAAACTTTATTTTGATATAAGTTACTATTTTTATTTTCAATTCTATGATATTTAAAGTACAAAAAAGATAATAATTCAATATTGTCTTTTCTGTTATACGTCATCATTGATGTTTTTTAGTCGCTCACTATTTTTTGTTGACATTTTTCAGTCACAATTTTTCTATAATATTTTTTATTAATATAATATCTAATATTTTTAATTATATAAAATAATATTTTTTAATTATATAAAATAATAATTCAATGACGAGGAGTGAGGGAAAGACATGTCTATTGCAACTGCATTTAAGAAAGAAATTTTTGAATCGTCAAATGAAAATTAGCATGTGCTTTAAGACATAAATTGATCCCTTAAATTATTACACTACTAAAAAAAATTGGTTTTTTCCGTAGGAAAACGGTCGATGATATCAAATTTTTTAGTAGTATTATAAAAAATATATATATGTTTTTTATCAGTTCCTTTATTAATTTGCGAGGGATTTGGTTTTTGGTCTTTCTCTCGCTGATTAGTGAGAGATTTTTTTCGTCGCTTATATCTTGTTTTGTAGTAGTGAATTCAATTAACCACAATTCTTTAATTATGATTTCATGACTGTAATTTCCGACCATAATCATACTATTTTTCTTTTAATTATAGAGAGAAAAATTTCTCTATATTATAATTAATGATAAAATAGGAAAGTAAAAAATTTACTTTTGAAACTCGACGCTTATTTATATGAGATTAAAATTATTATATATATATATATATATATATATATTTATTGGAACCTATGTAATAAATAAATAACCATAGTAAATTTTCTTATATTAATAATAATAATAATAATAATAATAATAATAACTATTTAATTTAATAAAACTAGAAAAAAAAAAAGAGCAAAAGGGAGAGAGAGTTTGATTTGAGATGTGTATCTTTTATACCCTTTTAGTATTTTTAGGTGCACCTTAATTCATCTACACATGTAACAAACCCTACTTTTACTTACGAAGGTGCTGCTGGCTTCGGTTTAGCCTTCGGTTCTGCTACTGGCTTTGGTGCTTCTGGCTCTACTGGCTTCGGTTCTGCTACTGGCTTTGGTGCTTCTGGCTTCGGTTCTGCTGGCCTTGGTGCTTCTGGCTTCGGTGCTGCTGGCTTTGGTGCTTCTGGCTTCGGTGCTGCTGGCTCCGGTGCTTTTGGCTTCGGTGCTTCTGGCTCTGCTGGCTTCGATTCTTCGTCTGGCAGCTCTTTTTGAATGCATAACCGTTGTCTTATTTCAATGTATACATCCATCATAGTAAAAAGCACGTAATTTTTATAGATAGCACCAACTAAGAGCAACACTATTGCGAAGCTCCGTCCCA